TTGCAATTATTATTTTATCATTTCTTTTAACTAAAGTACAAATAGCACGAGAAGATTGAAGAAATAGGTAAAATAATTAAGAAAAAGTATTGCACTGTTTAAATTATATTAAATTATGTAATATTAATTATTAAATAAAAATTAGATTTTTTTATTATAATTTGGGAGATAAGGAGATATTTTTTCAAGTAGTTAGTGAGAATAAAATTCTTAATCTACTTGAATTCAAGCATTTAGGTTTCGATGGTGAATCAATAAGTTTAATGGATTAGTTCAAATAAAAATTAGATCTTTTAATAGTAAAAATTATATTTAATTTAATAATTTTTATTTTATAATTTAATATAATTAAATTGTAAAATAAGTTTTTAAATAATATTTTTTTTAAAAAATAAATTAATATAAAGATTAGGACAAGGAAATCCATCTTACTCAAGAGGTGAATCTCATTAACTAAAAATCTTAATTACTAAAACGAAACATGGGAATCATAAGTTTTCAAATAATAATTACAAAAAAAAAAATAATAATAAAATAATAAAAACTTTTAAACTTTTTTATGGTCCTACTGACAAATTGCCTTGATGCAATAACCGGCACATAACCTCGCTCCATGCTCTACGTATTGAGAAATTTAAGATTTCCTTGGAATCTTGTACTGAGTACGTAACTACGTAATCTATAGTAATGCAAGACTTTGCTTGCCAATAATCCAACTTGGTTTATTGGTTACAATTTTTCCTTTCATGATCATTCTATCCACCTAATCCCCAACATTAATCTATACTTATTTTGTAATCCCTTTCCTCCCTAAAACCATTTGATGTTGATCAACTGTCTCAGACCTCTTTTTCCCTCAAAATAAACCAAGGTACCTCTGTTATTTGGGATTTTTTTTTAACAGATTGAATCGGTTTTTATCTGTATGTTTTTTCCTCTTCTTGTTTCATTGCTCATTTCTTCAACAAACCATGCTTACTCAGAATTACAAGAACAAGGGAAAAGAGAGGGAAAGTGCCAAGAGCACCCCTTATTCTTATTCTTCTCTTGATGTTGGCCGGAAAACAAGTGTACCCATCAGAGGATAGGCCGTGAGCTGATCAAATTATCTGCTTTTTGGGATTTGGGATTCTGGAGAGATGGAATTGGATAGCTTGGATTGTATGACATCCTCAGATGTGATTGATGACGATGAGATCCTTTCCCATTCCCACCATCAGTTCCCTTCCCTGTCAAAGCCTCACGGTAATGGTGACTACAGCAACAGTGTTGTGTCATCAGCTGTTCATCCAAGCACAACCAGTGTCCATGAACTCCTTGAATGCCCCGTTTGTGCAAACTCGATGTACCCTCCAATTCATCAGGTAAGTCATTGATTTCAATCTTTTCTTAACCTTTTTGTTACTGTTGTTCTCTTTGTTTCCACACATTTTTGTGTGTTTCTTTGAATAGTAAAGTTTGTTACCTTTTATGTAGATATTTTTTTACCATGCATTGATTGTGGCTGAGTGTCATTTCCGGGTTTTTGATTTATTTGTGGAATCCGTTTTCTCTTCTAGGGTTTAGAATTGGTGGCTAATTCTTTGTGAATACAGGAAATGTTTGCTGTGTGTTATTAGGTGGATTTTGATTGATAATTGTGGCAGATCAGGTTGGGTTCATATATGCATATGCACCAAAAAATAACATGCTAGGTTAGGTACCAAACCCCTTTGAGGCATTTCATTAAACAGTTTTATTGCTTCATTATTCTTCCAGCAAATACACTCACCATGCTTAAGAGATTTGCTTGTGTATTCGTCTGGCATCATCCCCTTATTTATTTTCCATCTCATCTTTTAGCTGATAAACTTCCTTCATGTCCCTTTCCTGTTATATCAACCAATTAGAGTATTGTTTGGCATCAGAATGCTGCCAGACGGCAAAACCATGACCATCAGAAGGAAAGGGCGCCCCTCATATGCTGGTCAGTTTCGTGCAGTCTGGACTGCAAAAAATATTTCTTTTCTCGCATTTCTGTAGTTTGTTTTGTTATGGTTTTACTGTAGTAGCATGCTGTTGTTTATGTTATATTGCCATATATTGGCGGTTCCTTGAGTGTATTCACACTATATATTTCTCTGCCTGTCCAGCCTAAAATGTGGTTTGCTATTCTGAGTTTTGAGTTGATGGAAATAATCATCTTAATCAGATTAAAGCAGGGCACAAGTAAATCATTGTCTTAGAACGATATAATTCACAGCAGCTCTTCTATTATTAGGATAGAAGAAGGGGAACATTGGGAAGATGATTGGAAGTAACCGTTCCATATATGCACCTCAAACTGCTCTGCAAATGAATGCTACTGGACCTGCCAAAGGTTCTTCACTCTATGGCATTGTGTCAGTGAATTCTGTATTTTCATTTTTCCTTAACTTCTCTTGCTGATATGTGACTGTATCCACATTTTTTGAACAGCTTAGTTTCAAGTATTTGGTCAGTTAGAGACTGAACAGGCAGTGATGATTGGTAAACATGTGTCGTGCTGCTTGTAAAGTCTTTGCTTAAGTGCTCAATCATGACAGCACAAAATGATTTAGCCTAGATCAGCTTCACATGCATCCATACTTATCCATATATAAACACACACATAAAGACATTGTCACGAGCAAACAGCTGAGACAGACAAACAATGCCTTTATGTATTTGTACCTTAAGATCTAGTTTTTGTTTTCTGTCATTGGTGTATTATTGCTTAAGAATGGCAGAAATGTGCTGGTAAAACTAGATGAAGTTCATATATATCTATTTCTTTAATCCTTTCTCTTTGTGTTTTGTGGTTCTAATAATTAACTAGTGAGAATGGCTTTGATAGTGATTAGCGAACTGATACCTATTTATTTCAGCATGTTTGTATGTTTTGTGATACATTTTTTTTTAATATTTTAATGGTAAAATTGGCCCACAACCATGTGCAGCATTGTTAGGTTCTTAAGTTTGGAATGCCATTGATGTTCACATCCACTATATTTATATTCTTACAATTTTTTGGCTGATTCTTTAAAGTTTGTCTCTACAGTGCCATAGTGGGCATACCCTCTGTTCAACCTGTAAAACAAAGGCACACAACCAGTGCCCCACATGTAGACAAGAGCTTGGTGATATAAGGTGCTTAGCACTAGAGAAGGTAGCTGAATCCCTGGAACTGCCTTGCAAATATGTCACACTTGGATGCCCAGAGATATTACCCTACTACAGTAAACTCAGACATGAATCCATATGTATCTTCAGGCCACACAATTGTCCATATGCTGGATCAGAGTGCTCTGTTGTTGGAGATATCCCATTCCTTGTTGCTCACCTAAGGGATGATCACAAGGTTGACATGCATTCCGGATGCACTTTTAACCATCGTTATGTGAAGTCTAATCCGCAGGAAGTAGAAAATGCCACATGGATGCTAACTGTAAGTGTACATGTTTTTACAAGATGATTTTCTGATTAACATCCACAATTCACTCTATCAAGTGGAGTGGTTCAAAGGACGTACATTTGCTTATTGCAACACTTAGGATGTGATCTTAATGTTTTTCTTTGCTAGATGTTGAACTGTCTGTACTGGGACTTGAAAAAAGGCCGGAATTCTGAATCTTCTGAACCATGCAACAAGTGTGTAGTATCCATTAGCAATCCTCTCACCTGATTCCAAGTAATATATAACAAAAATATGAATACTGCAAGCCTGCAAGTTAAATGTAGTTTTCCTGGTCTGGGTAATGTTTATGTTGCCAAATTATAACAAAGGAATCAATTATAAAAGTAGTTATTATTATTGCTGTTACCTCAGCCGCTTGATGATTTTGAAAGCCAAATTGGAATGTTAGAATTGATGGATGCTTAATCTAGATGTGAAGTAAATGTTCAAAACTTTAGCTTGACTCAATGCCCTTATCCAATCATTTTTGGTTCTGTACAATATACCTGATTCACTTTTCTTTTTTGTCATTTTTTAGGTATTCCATTGTTTTGGCCAGTATTTCTGTCTCCATTTTGAAGCCTTCCAGCTTGGGATGATCCCTGTTTATATGGCATTCCTCCGTTTCATGGGTGATGAAATAGAAGCCCGGAACTACAGTTACAGCTTAGAGGTTGGGGGGAATGGCCGGAAAATCATTTGGGAAGGCACTCCGCGAAGCATAAGAGACAGCCACAGAAAGGTTAGGGACAGCCATGATGGCCTCATCATAGAGCGTAACATGGCACTTCTCTTCTCTGGAGGGGAAAGAAAAGAATTGAAGCTAAGAGTTATGGGGCGGATATGGAAAGAACAACAGAACCCAGAAGGTGGGGTCTGCATACCCACCCTCTGTAGTTAAAAGCAAGGTCAGAGCTCACCATCTCACCCTGCCAAACCTTGCATCTATTCTCTATAGTTTCTTGTATTATCATTAGTGTATGCATGCAGGTGATGTTGAGTATTCTTGAACCATGTATTGATGCTATAGGCTATAAGCTTCCTTACTCCTCTAGTCCTCTCCTCTAGGGTTCCAGGAGGAGCTTTTGCACAGTTTGCACTTTGCTTTTGGATGTGGGTGGATGTCATCTTATTTCATTTATCTTAATCGAATCCTCTTTAATCTCTGCTTCCCTTGTGTGAAATTATGCCACTAATCTGTTCAATCCCACCATCCCAATAATATGCTTCAGCATTCTTATTTTCTTTTTATTTTTTATTTTGAGCTCTCATAATGTTATGAAAACTCAAAAAATATCTTTAATGGTAATTTTTTTGGGTACATCGGATGATAAGCTGTATGGCAGGAATGATCTAGGAAATTCACTCTCCTAGTGTACCTGTTCATCACTCTCACTCAGATCCATGCTTCAAGTTCTATGAAATTTATAAAATTCACATTAATCAAATTAACATACATGGCTTTTATGCATAAGGTCCCTTGAGTTCCCATTGAGTCATCAAGAACATTGAATTCTAACCCAAGTCCTTCATCTGCGTAGGATTTGAAGTATTATACATGAGAGCAGAAATTTATTCATTATATACTGCCAAAAATTAAAATACAGCAAAACTTAAACTCAAACCTCAGGGAAACACAAAATCTTGTAAAAGAAAAAAAAATGGTTAACTATATCTTTGTTCAATTGAAGCTTTAAGGCCAATATTATGTATGAGAAGCTAGCTGGGATGAACAAAAAGAATTGATTGTCTCAAGAAACAAGTAAGAATTAAAAAGCTTCCGTACATGGGTAAACAACAAGGCTGCAGACAATTTGAACAAGTCATCTTGCCATGCATATATATTTGCTTACAAAACCACCACCACGTACAGATTCACCAGGAATCCTGCAATTTTATCATGGCTATGATCCAGCAATCTCATTGAGACGGTGATCCATGGTTTGAGAAAGAGTTTCAAGAAACACAGCTTCACTTGTGCCCGGAAGTGCTGAATCTTTTGCTTCTTGGACAATCTCCTCTATTACAGATTCTTTGTTCAATCTTTCTCTGCACATTGCGCTTCCAATTGCATAGGGAGTGAGTCCTCTGTCAACTCCCTTTTTCAGAAGCATTGTAGAGATGCGAAGTGTGCGGGCACATTCTAGTGGCATATCCCATCCATGGTCTTTAAGAAGAGCAATATCTTCTTCAGCATCCAGAGATTTTATGTACTCAATAGTTCCAAGTGAGTAAGGTTCGTGAGCTTGAGGCCAATAGAGCCACTCAAATGTGCAATCTTCAAACTGCAGAAACAGAATATGAAAAATAATTAAGACGTTGAGCTTGGCTGAGTAGTAAGAAGTGTTAACCATACCGCAAATGCAGGTTCAAATCCCTCCATCAACATATCAGCACAGAGAAACAGAATCTCTAAAACAATCTTTAACCTCCAAATAAGCAAATAGAATATTAGAGCTTAGAATTGGCCTGGCAACATAGGATGTTTAGCCGATTCCAGGTTCAACAAAGAAACAAAACCAAGAAAAATGGTATCCATGAACTTGCAGGCAATTAGAGTCATAAACAACATAAAGAATACTCACACTTTCAGGCAAGCAATAACCATGATCAATTGGAATTAGCAGAGTCTTTCCATCAGCATCTTTGCTCAACAAAATATTTCCAGCATGCCTATCTGCATTTGCCAATCTTATATCCAAAACAGAAATTTTATGTACTTCCTCCACCGGAAAAGCCCCAGGACCAATGTCTTCACAACTTCCACTATTTTCTATGTACATTTGCAAGGACCCAAGCTTCACAGTAACATTATCAGGATTGTTAAATGCTCTATGTCCACACTTTATCATAACGGTTGGAGGCACGCCAGCAAAACCCTCCTTATCATAAAACAATGAGGGAAGCCCAATTTTTGGATGATCCAAAACATAAGCTGCGGATTCCCTAAATGCTCCTTCTCCAACTGTTGTACCCTTCTTCAACCCTTCACCATCTGGTGATGGAGGCAGTCCTCCTGGGTTGTTAACTGCCAGAGGTTCCTCATCAATTGGCTTAAAGACAGAAACAAAATTTTGGCCAGTTGCATCCTGCATAAAATACACTCCTCCAGTACCCTCCTTAGACCTAATTGGATAGTTACCACCGTCTAAACCGCAGCGAGTGGAATTAATCATATCCAAAATTATCAAAGGTAATTCAACCTTGGGATTAACAACTGGCTCAAAGAAGAAGTCTCTATCAGGAGGTTTTCTTGGTACAATCTCCTTGTTAACTTGATAACCCCTGGAATAATCTTCAGCAGCATCATACTGTCTTCTAGTTTTCTTCTCACCGGCTACATAAGCTGTCCCATCATTCAATTCTGGTGCCACAATAGACACTTCAATCTTCTTCTCAACACCCCTAACCCGAAGTTTTGCAGTTCGACGGACCAACAAGTGCAATACTGCACCATTAACCTCACATATATCATCAATAAGCATTTGATCCTCAACCTGCTTCCCATCACAAATAACTTCTTGCTCATCTGGATTATTGAATTCTTTTTCCCTCTTTGCAATCTGTCTTTTCAGATAACCAACATTTCTTCCTCGTTGGATATGGAACACAAATTCTTTTCCACAAACAGTCCTGACATTAATAACTTGAAGATCAGAATGCCTAAGGACTAAATGCAAAACATTGCCATCAGTGACACCATAGTCACGAATGAGGGAATTACTCCGTGCCAGCTCCCGACCTCTACAAACCAACTTCTGATTCCTCACAACAAACCCTGTGCAGGTTTGAATCCTCAGCTTCACAGACTCAATGGAATCCGATTCCAGAACACGCATTGGCACCATAGATCGTGAAAGGGTCAAGAATAACAAAATGGAGTCGCTTTGGCACAGACCCCATTCAGAATTGATGCGACTAAGAGAAAGTATTGGTTCATCACTAAGAGAAAGTATTGGTTCACTATGAGCCCGACTAAGAGCAACACCAGCAGACAACATTTTGGAAGGGAAATAGTTTCAACTACACCAGTAAAGATAATCTAGTAAATTATATACAGAAAAAGGACTGAAATTTGCTATCTTTGCACTTTTGTGGCTCAAACAAAAACCAGAAAGAAACTGCAATCTAGAGATTAGAACCTAGGAGTCAGAGAGAGAATGGAGCATGCTGCTTATTATTCATCGAGATATATTACGCGAAGAAAATCAATCCAGAACCAGAAACTTTCCACCCCAAACACACAGTTCTAACCGGAGGGGAGGAAAGTAGTAAGGGCAGAACAGGAGCCTAAATCAGATCCGGATTAGGAAATTAGAATCAGACTTCTGGTTTTGGAGGCAACGGACAAGGAAGACGAGCCCAGTACTTATGAAAGAAGAGGATAAACGTGTGTTCTTGTCCCTACTTTTATACGTAGCGCTTGTAAGAACAAGACAAGAAATCCGACTTCGACTAGAACTGGTTTTTTTGTTTAAGGATAAATAAGAATATTAATTTTTTATTTTTTATTTAAAAATGTTAATTCTATTAATTTTTAAATAAAAATATTAGTGTTTAACTCTTTTTTATTTAAGAAAGAGAGCAACCTTACAGCTTGTTGAGATGGAGTGCTGCCAGCCGGCTGTTGAATTTTTCAGGAAACTTCCCTAAGATATTGAGAAGGGTGGAAATCCTACACATTCAATATTCGATAGATGTAATATAATGATACATATCTCCGGCGGCTTGGTAAGTGGAAACATCTTTACACTACAAGATTGTAGTCAACATTTTAAGCCTAAGCTATGAAATATTGATGTAAATATATGTTATTTGCATCAACTTTATTTATGTAAAAAAAGTTTGTCACAAAAAAAATTTTTAGTGTCAACTAAAAAAACATTAATGTAAGCATTGTTGATGTAAATAGAATTAAAAGTTTGTCAAAACCCAGTCCATTGTGGTTAATGTTTCAAAAAAATTATAAAAATAATAAAAAGTAACTAAACAAATAATTTCTTATTAATATGGTATTATTTCATTGTACTTTATATTTCAGACTTATTTCAGTGAAGTGAAGGTCAATAATTCTTTACCTTGTGTCAAAACTTGTGTTAATACAAATTATTGGTGTTGCCTTTAAAACCAAATCTAAGTTTTCTTGCATTGCATTTTTCTGAAGCTCTTGTTTATTACTCCTCCTTTCTCTTTCACGAAAGCAACAGGAGACCATTGTTTATTTCAAATGTTAACCAGATTTATTAAAGTTTAGTCTCATAAAGGAGATTAAAAAAAAGTAAGAAAATCATTTCTTTAAAAGTTGGTTCAATATCTTTTTTGGTCTCTCTATTATAGGAAAAAGTCCCTTTTTAGTCCCTGTACCGAAAAAATCCTCTTTTTGATATTTATTGTTCACAAATTCGGCCTCTTTTTGGTTCATCCGTTAAATTTTGGCTTACGTGGCATGTTAATTAACGGAAAAATTTTTTTTTTCTTTACTTAAATTACGTGTGAAATCCATTTGGCAAAACTTGATGACATGGCCAAATTTTTATCTATAATTACCAATTTACCCTCATTTTCTTCCCCCATCCTCTCTTTCCTTCAGCCTTTTAGGCGCCTGGGTTCATCACAAACCCGCGAGCTGGGTTCGCCTGAAGGTAAAAGGAAAAAAGGACAAAAAAGAAAAAAGCTGGAGGAAGTGGGGTGATGTGGAGGGTGACGTGGAGTCCACATAAACATATTTTACGCGTTGGTATACCACGTCAGTTGTTCTAGTTAAGTTAACATGCCACATAAGCCAAAATTTAACGAAGGGACTAAAAAGGGGCCGGATTTGTGAACAGTAAGGATCAAAAAGAGGATTTTTTCGGTACAGGGACTAAAAATGGGCTTTTTCCTATAGTAGAGGGACCAAAAAATGTATTTAACCTTAAAAATTTTATTTTATTTTTTTCTCAATTTGCATGTTATACATGACAGATCTAACTATCTATCCTTTATTTTTTTTTTTTTTGCTTTGAAATTATATATTCAAGTATTTAATCTCTAGAAAAGAGACAAAAGAATAAGAAGATCATTCCTTTAAAAAGTTTGACATTTGAAACAAGTTTAAAATTGCATCTTACATCAAGTATCTATGCACAGATTAATATACAAATGAGGTTTAGTTTTTTATTTATTTGGATGAAATATGTTATGTTGGTGGAATGATTAATATATTGATGGAATGATTAATATATTGATATGTAGGTTTATAAATATTTTTTATGAGGTGTTTCGTATTTAGAGAAGCAAATTTTTTTTATGAGATCTTTCATAAATCATATGGTTGGATTTTTCTTAAATTTTTAAGCCAACAACTTAACATTGAAGTTGATTGATATGAAATTTTCAAAAATTTTAGAAGCCCACTGAATTTTCTCACCACTTTTGATTGAATTATTATCTATATTAGGAATGTTGAAGCAAATCATATTGGTTAACGCAAATATTTCTATATATATATATATATATCACTCATAGTAGTTCTCTTGTCATTATGCCATTTCTCTTCTTCTTCTTCAAATTTCATTTCTCTCTTCTCCCTATTCTCTTCTCATTTTGTCATTTTGTTACTCTTCTTATTTTTCATAGACTAAATCCATTCTCATGAATTTTTTGTCACAATCCAATGGTATATTCTCTAACCCATAAATTCTTCTATTTTATTATAATTTTTTTAATATTTTGTATAACTCTACTAATTTAGAGTTTTAATTTGTACTTAAACTAATTTTTTTCATTTTAGTTGTAGGTTTATATATGGGGAGAATCTCTTATATAAGGTAAATGA